ATAACATTTAAAAAAGAAAATCAATTTTACTTAAAAAGTTTAATAAAAAAATTGGCACTGCATTTGTTGAGCTGATCAATATCAGCCGTTTTTTTTAGATTTTGTTCTTTATTTTAATTTTTTTAATGCGGAAAGTAGCAATGCGTATGCAGCTTTGACATATTTTACTCAGATTTGATAGGTGCTAATTTTTTATGAATTTTATAGTTGAAATTAATACAGGTCCACAAAAAAGATTTGTCAGAATTGGGTGTGTGTCTTCCAATGTACCTTTTGCCGCTGAAGATAAATCTATAGTCAAAATTGGGGCACAAAATATTGGAAAACATTTAAAAACGTACACAATCTTCGATCTAGATTTTTTTCTGAATGAATTAATTATTATCCAGCGACTTTTATTTTATGGACCTGTGTAATTGTTTGCACACATACGTACTTCCAAAAAAAGAATTTGAATCAAAATTTGATTCGCGTTTTTTTTTTCAAAAGCGAAAAGTTCTCAGGGCTGACATAAGATTTATAAAAAAATTCGATGTTTATTGAAAAAATGCACTTTTTAAATCTGTATTATTTTGCATGTTAAATGGCGAAGAAAATATTTACATGAAAACAGCTGTCTTGTTAGCTTTGAACATTTGGAATCACAATTAAAATTTGTTCACATTTTCTTTTTTCAATATGAAAATTTAAAGATATTATTCTTTATTACCAAAATGACGAAAGAACTATAATTATTATTTCATATCCAAAAACAATTGTAATTCGCTATTCGAGTCGTCTACTCCTTGAAGCATTCCATCACTATTGAGCTAAGGGGGCGTCCATTAATCACGTGAGGTTTTTAGGGGGAGGGGGGGTTTGACAAAAAATCACGAAATATCACGTGGGGGAGGGAGGGGTATAGCAAGATATCACGTGTATTTATTATTTTTATATTTTTATAAAAAAGTTCAAACATTTTAAAAAAAAATTAAAACTTTTACAGTTTTTCACGTAACTAAAAATACACGTGATGTTTGGTGGGGGAGGGGGGGTAATTTTGAATATCACCAAATATCACCAAGGGGGAGGGGGGGTCTAAAAATCCCTAAAAACTCGCTCACGTGATTAATGGACGCCCCCAACGTACTTTAGTATTAAAAATCGACACATTCACAAACTTAATTGCCAGGATGTCTTTAAATTTACGATGATTTAACCCTCGCGACTTTATAAGATTTACTTATTTAACAATTTTAAATTTAGAATAGCGTTGTTGCTATGTTCTCGGACAAGTTCTCAATTTTTTTTGCAATATTGAAGCTTGTTAAACAATATTTAAATAAATTAATATTTATTTTATCAGGAAATGCTATTTTTTCGAACAACAGTTTGTACCAGAATTTGACTGACGACAAAATTAGCTTTTACAGCCGTATTTGATAAAATATCTAGAAAATAATATGTTATTGAGAAATGCTTGGCGGGCCGCAGAAAAACTCTCGGCGGGCCGCATGCGGCCCGCGGGCCGCGGGTTGCTCATCCTTGATTTACAATAAAATACTCAAATATTTATTTTTATAAAATAGGTATTTTCTTAAATAACAATCTTAAATAAGATACAGATTGATCTTATAAGGTATTTTAAAAAGCGAACAAGACAGCAACAAAAAAACTAGTAGTGTATGGTATCGTGCCTTAAAGCAAATTGCTGGGAATTCCTGTACTGAAAATTAAAATGTTTAAAAAAGCTTTAATACTTTACGATTACTTAAAAAAATAGTTTTTTGAGAATTTTGGTATTTTTGAAAAAAAAAACTTTTTTACTATGGTATGCCAAAATGTTCAAAAACATTTGAAACGTAAAGATATATAAAAAAATATCATTTCCTATTTATTGATTCCGATAACTTATCCTACGGAAAGTTAATTATGTTTCAATAAGAATAAAACATTAAATATCACTCCAAAGAGAGAAACCTACAGTTTTCTTCGAATCGATTCTCAGTGCTCGAGTTAGACCCAGATACTATTGTTTCCGATTTGTGATTTCTATGAAGATATGCGGTATGTTGTTAAAAGCTAAGAGTGTAAATTTCATCTACGTAAAAAAGAAGTCATCGTACTAGAATTTGAACTGGTATATATGGGCGTGTTTGAAGATGGGTGGAACGCCGCTTATGGGTTATGAGTTCGGCGGCTGCTCAACACAATAGACGGCCATCCAGCCAGCCATCCAGCCAGCCAGCCACGCTCCCAGAGCTGAACGCTCGACGATGGATCGACGTTCAACCTCACTTGTGCAACGATATGCGAATTTAAAAATTGCTGGAACTTCCCGTATCAAAAATTATTATTTTTTTTAAAACGAACGAAACTCCGAAAAATTTAGATTTGTGAGAAACTATAAATTGGACAAAAAATTACTTTTTTTAAAAAAAAATGAAAAAAAAAAAATGTTTTCTTTATTTTGACATATTTTGAAAGATCTAAACTTTTTTTCAAAGCAATCGTACTGCTTTAACTGCATAGAGACAAAATATCGAAGCGCGTCAGCGCCGCGTCGCTGTCTAACGGATAAACATTGGTACGGAACCCATAGGAATGTAAACAAAATTTATACTTTCATTTTTGACCGCCAAATGGCATTTTTTTACTTTTTTCGTTAGATCTCCGAAACCGCTAGACTTGCCCTCATGAAAATTTGATCAATTCTTCATCTTGTCAGTACAAGTAAAATGTTTTTTGAATTATTAAAATCGGACGCTCCGTTCTCTTAAAAACTGAGTTACCGTTTTCGGCACTTTTTGCCCCGTATCTTCGGAACGGCTAGACCTGCCTTCGCCAAAAACTAATCAGCACGTCTTCTTATCAATACAAATCGAATGTTTTTTGAATTATTCAAATCGCTTCATCCGTGTTCCCGAAATCGTCGACGAAAAATTGTATCCGCACACACATACACACACGCACACACACTCAGACACATACACACACACATCATCCATTTTTTCTAAGGTATGCCAAAATATTCAGAAACCTTGGAAACGTAAAGATATATAAAAATTTTCAATTTCGATTGTTTCGCGATTACTATAACTTGCCCTACGGGAAGTTAACTAGTGGTGTAGTATGGCATTGTGCCTTAAGGCAAATTGCTGGTACTTCCCGTACCAAAAACTAAATTATTAAAACAAAACTTTGCAAAATGTTGAAAAAATTAGATTTTTTAGAGATTTTGAATTTTTTGAAAAAAATTGCCTTTTTTGAAAAAATTGATTTTTTATTTTGATTTTTTTTCGTATTTTATTTTTTTTTTAAATCTGGAACATATTTTTAAGCCATCGTTCTGCATAGCTGATTTGGAGTCGAAAAATTAAAGCGCGTAAGCGCCGCGAAGTCGTCTAACGTGTAAACATTGGTACGGAACCCATATAAATGTCGCAAAATTTGTACTTAATATTAAAATCTTTATAAAATATTTTTATAAAGTTAATAATACTGTGACGATTTGTACCAACGGTCAACCATTGGGTTGCCTTCTGAGAAAGCCCAATCATCACAACAGCTTATAAGTTCAGATCTCTGTTAAAAAAATACATTACAAAAAAAATACATACAATTTCCCAGCAATTAGATCAATACGCGTCTTAAGCAAGAAAGCGTATTATGCGGGATGGATAATTTTGGCAAAGTGCAAGGACCGGCGTGAAGTGGCATTAAGCTTGATCGTCTTAACGGAGCTCTACTACTTATGTTAGTAATTAACAAAGTCTAATAATCGGGAATAACATAAATAAAAAAAATATTAAATTCAATTTACAATCCATGCGTTTCGGTTATAGTTCTAGCCTTCAGTGGAAATTAAATAAAAATTTGAAAATACACAATTGAAATTGAAGGATTAAAAAAAAAGTACAATTTCCTAATGCTAATGTTTAAAATAGAAAATTCAATAACCAATTTCTGTTTTTAACACTTTGTAAGTTTTTTTAATTTTTCCATCTCAATTGTGCAATGACAAAACCAAATTAATAAAAATTTTGTAAAATATAATGTATTGATATTTGCTGCGCAAGCAATCTAAATAAATTTTTGTAAGTTCTAGAAATTCCATTATCTTTTATGAAAATTTTGAAATAAACTAATTGTAAATGGCATCTTGGTAAAAGACAGTGCAAGTTGTGTATAAACAGTATACTGAATCAATAAAATTAAATTTTAGTTATTCTGATAAAATTTTATACTGCTTATTTAACAACATTTTCATTTTTACCGAAAACTAATCAATTTCCAATTAATATCTTTTATTCTTACAACATTTTTAATTGTAATAAATCAATTTAATTTATTTAACACACTTCATTTTAGTTCTTGTTCTAAAAATGTATTTTATTTAAGTGTGGATGTAAACGATAATCAGTAATAAAAAACAGAATTATTATTCCAAACTTTGATAATTTTTTATAATTCAACCACATATGGTACCTATATTTTATATTATATAATATTTTATTTTATTATAATATTTTATTTTATTAATTTCGAAGAAACGACCCGGCCGATCTTTATTAAAAACTAGTAACCAGCACTATTCCCAACTGATATGAATTCACGATTTTTGATTAAAATTTAGATAATCGTTTTTTTATAATTTATAACAACAAATATAATAGTTATAAAATAAGCAATTACTATTTCTAACAAACTTACTGAACATTTTAATAAGTTATATCGTCCTGAACAAAATTAATATTGCATTTCAAAAAAGGCGCTCAATATCGATAAATCAATCGTAAGCGATTCAAAATCAATTTATCTAGGAGATTGCCATATATGAATAAATAAATTTGCGCAAATACAAATACTATATTAATATATAACTATCTTTTAAAATTTATTCTTTTATCCTTTTCTGTTAAAAGATTCTAATTTTCATTTGATTATTTCTAGAACGATTATTATAACACCATATTTATATATTCAAAACATATCCTGTCACAGAATATTGCACGGCGTGGGCAACACCAAAATTTGTGGGCTAAAGCAGGCTGCGAAAACAAAAACCGCATGCACAAGTCGGCTCGTTGAAAAGGGTATATTCAGAAACTCGAACATAATCTCACAGCATCGTCCCCAAGGTGAGTCATTTTGTTATATTATTTAATATTTCGACTTATTAAATAACGGCGAGTGTTATTGAAGTAGAATAATCATTATTTCATTGTTTTTCATCAATTTTACTTTGGTTCAAACGGACCGCCGGTACGAACGAACTACGGCGGACATTTTGTATTTCAATTGCACAGTTTAGATTTTGTTTTCAGGTTTAAAGACATTTATACCTTGATCAAAATGAGTGATAACGTGCCGAAAAAAGATGTTACCGAGCAGGGCGACCAATTTGATTTTGAGGAGTTCGGGGATAAAAGTCATTCATTTGATATTAATGACCATTTTAACATTGCGAACTTTAACTATAGGAGGTATGTCCCGCTGTGCGTCCGCCGCCGTAATATATTAACCCAAATGATCTCTGATTTCCCCGAGCCGATGAAAGAGCGCGTGAAAGCGTTAAAAGAGCTCCAGTTCGAGAACACTCAGTTGGAAGCTGAATTTTATAAAGAAGTATTCAGTCTCGAGTGCAAGTACCAGAAGCTCTACACCAAACTATATGAAAAAGTAAGAATTACACATGTTGTACAATATAGTATAAATACATATAACTAATACTCTTTTACTCTACAGAGGAGTGAGATAATTCATGGCAAGCGAGAACCCACACCTTCGGAGAGCTCCTTCGATATCCCTGAGCCAAACATCGAGCCACAGTTGAAGGACAAGCTCTATGAAATTGCCAAGTAATGCAAGTGTTTAATATTAGCTCAGTCAACATTTTAATTTACATTCTCTCAATAGGCACAAGATGTCAATAAACACATCCTTCACAAATGACACAAAAGGTATCCCTGAGTTTTGGTTCCAAATCTTTCGTAATGTCTACATGTTGAGTGAGTTAATTGAGAAGCACGATGAACCTGTTTTGAAGACTTTGCTGGATGTCAAAGTTGACTACTTTAATGAACCAATGGTAAAGATTCAAAATACTTTCTATAGAAAAAACAAGTTTGATTTTATTTTTTCGGGTTTTCTAGGGCTTCACTTTACATTTTATATTTGGACCAAACAAGTACTTCTCGAATAAGGTGCTCACAAAGGAATATACAATGACTTGTGTTCCCAGCAGGGAGAACCCCTTCAATTTCGACGGGCCAGAAATCACAAGCTGCAAGGTCGGTATTAAAAATATTTAATGCATTTTTTCATTTAATTACAACGTCTAATTCTTTAGGGCTGTGAGATCAACTGGTATCCCGAAAAACCTAACAAGACTCCGAAAGGTGAAAGAAGATGATGAAGAGAGGAACGAGGACGAGGTAACAAATAGAATATTTAGGATTATTCTTTATTCTTAATCTAATACTACGTATTTTCAGGAAGAGAAGTATTTAGACTCGTTCTTCAACTTTTTCTCCCCGCCCTCTCCTCCAATCGCTGGACAACTAGCAATAGATGGGATGCTATTCGGCGATTATCCTATGATTACGAAATCGCTCATTACATTCGTGAGCGCATAATTCCC